ACTCGTCCAGGAACCTGAAAACAGCAGTTTTGGCTCAAGTCTTGTAAGGCATTGCATTGTCAGCTACCGATGTATCGCCTGGTCACAGACCGGGCCGCGGGGGCGTTGACCCCCGAAACTCTCTCCAGGTAAACTCCAGGTAAACAACGGGTGGGAAGTGATAGTATCTATCACCTGGCTACTCCGAAATCACATGAACCAGCAAGAAAATCGAAAGAAGGGGAGAGAAGAAAGTAGTTAGCACTATTTTTATTTGACAAAAGCTGGCTTGAAGAACAAATTGGATGAGGACCAGGAAAGAAAGTTAAACACTCCCTGGAAGGAGTCAAGGAGGTAAAAAAAAATCCTCAGAATGGGAGAAAAGGAGGAAAGTCAATGAATGAGATGGGGAACCTGGTCAGAAAGTGCTGGGAGGATGAAGGGAACTTAATACTCAGAAGAGGTAGCAGTAACAAAGAGAGCCTGTGTTTTAAATATACAGACAAAAAAAAACAAGAAGTTCAAAACATGGAATAATATAGAAAGTGAATTACATGAAAACAGAAGAGCCAGAAATTAACATGTAAGGGTGAGATGATACACTGAGTGGCAATTAGAGAACGACACAGCAGCAAAAACAAAATCTGAACCAAAACATCCATATCAGAAGACGACAAATAAATACCTGGCAATAAGAGTGCAGAAGGAAGGAGGAGAGCTCACAAGAAACAAGGAAGTCTGGTATATGTGAATGATTTTCTGGACGAGACAGAGTCAGAAGTATCTCTGGTGGCATATGTAAAATAAAAGCTGATGAGGACAAGGGCAGGAAAGCCGATGGCCCACGAGGAGTCATTGTAGAAAATCGAAATTTCATTAGACTAAACTCAATTATCTTTTAGTACTGAATGATTCGCTGGGTTTTAGCTGTTTCATATTAACTTGATATTATAATGAGTGACTTACCAGAGTGCTGGTAACATGGCGAAACTGGGAAGAGTGATGATGAGCTGTAGCCAATGCCACTCTCGGACCAGGTAAGCCACTCCACCCCAGGCCATCGTGCCCACCGCCCAGGGCAGAGACAGCATGATGCCCACCACAGACCTGTGCTTAGGCTCCGTCACCTCCAATGCTGTAACCAGTAAGAAAAGCCACAAATATAGACCTGTATTTGAACTTCGTCGACCAGTGAACAAGAAAAATGTGTCGCGAGACACTCCAGCCTGTTAGGCCTCCGTCAGCGCAAAGCCCCCCCCTCCCAAAAAAAAAAAAATGCAAGTTACATAAAAAGGTGTATTAAGTGGAACAACTGTCCCAGTGCTCAACAGATAACATTAATAAAATAGTTGGTTCAAGGTATAATATCGAAGAATAGCAGGAAATAATGAATAAATTAGGAAATGGTAAATAATAGAATAAGATTGTGGGGAGAGAGAGAGAGAGAGAGAGAGAGAGAGAGAGAGAGAGAGAGAGAGAGAGAGAGAGAGAGAGAGAGAGAGAGAGAGAGAGAGAGAGAGAGAGAGAGAGAGAGAGAGAGAGAGCTCTTAGCTTCTAAACAAAGTTAGGAACCTTACCTAATCTTGCAAAACTGTGTAAAGAAAGAGAGCTTGTTAATGTATATGTACGTTATTGTGGGTGTACACACACAAAAAAAAACAGCCTAGCTAGCAATATAAGCTCACCCAGGATGTAGCCAGACTGCAGGATGGCAGGATGTAACAAGCCGAGGATGAAGCGGACCACCAGTATAGCATAGAAGACAGTGATCCAGCAGGAACCGATGGCCAGTGAGAAATAGATAAGTGTTCCCACAGTCAGCGTTGTCTTCCTGCCCAACCTGTCTCGCCACCAAGTAACAAATGTCAGCAGAATTTCTAATTTTATTACAGAATTACCACAATTATGATATTCTGTATATTTACGGTTAATCACATTAATTAAAACAATATATTCAAATTTTCTGTCAGCATTATAATTCTTGTTAATTTACAAGCAATAAATTAATGCAAAAATTACGTTTCACAGTATTCAAAAGCAGGATACGTATATACCCTGAGGGGGTGTATAGCTCTCTGTATCTACTGAGAGTTTAATTCCCGTTTTAGGAATTAGATATATTCTTGTCTGGTGCTGGAAAGGTTAACGTGGAGCCTCCATGATCCTAGTGTAGTTGATAAGACTTTAAACCCCATTAACTAGCCAATTTCTCGGCGTTTATATGCTGAGACTGCTTTAATCCCTATTGTAGGGATTATAGTATTCTTGTCTGGTAGTGAACATGTTATGTACAAGTTTAATGACCCTCGTGAAGTCTATACGCTTTCAACTCGATTAACCAACCAACCTACGCATATACACAGAGAGGTGTACGGCTCTTGGTGAGAGGTTACCTTAACCTTAATTCCTCTTTAACGGATTTACGTATTCTTGACTGGTGAACAGGTTACATGCATCCTAAATGACCTTCAAACCAACCATATATATCATAGGAGATATAAACCCAGAGGTGTATTTCTCGGTGAATATATGCTGAGAGTTTACCCTAATCCCTGTACTAAATATTTACCAAGGATGAGTTAGTGTTGAGATTGTACAAGCATAATGTTCACTGAAGCCAATATCAACACATACTGGAGAAGGATGGTATATCTTACCTGATAGAGGTGAGAAATGGTGAGCGTCTCACCTGTCAGAGAGGTTTCCATTGATGGGTGCCCCGAAGAAGGTGCCGAACATGTAGATACTGGAGAAGGTGGCCCTCAGGTACTCCGACGAGCACACCAAGTCGAACTGACGATAGCGAAAAGTCAGCTCCAGTAACCCATTATCGCTCATGTTCTGATGGGCACCCAACCTTCAAGGGTTCCCTACTTTAACACTGTAAGGGGCTTCTGATCCAAAGAATTGGAGTTATGCTTCTCTATGACAAAACTAGATTGCCTCCTCTTTCTTCTATGTAATGGATAACCATTATGGTTTAAGCGCTTCCCTATGAATTTAGAAATAATGAATGTCAAATCTAAAGAATACCCTGGTAATTCTTATTAGTTTTGTAGGGCACCCAGGTCATTAAAGCTTACAGTTGTAAACAATCACGTCACTCAAGGGAGGTTCCTCGACGCTGGTGAGGGGCTCTTGATCTAGGAAATTGGATCTGTGCTCCAATGCCCTGAATTGAGCCTGAATACCTTCCATCCCCCCCCCACGTGTGCTGTATAATCCTCCGAGTCTAGCGCTCCCCATGATTATAATAATAATATAAAAGCAAAAGACTCAACAGACGAAGCAACATTCCCCCAATGATAAACAGGGGCGCCACTACCATGATAAGAAACAACACAGTACGTGTCAGGGGGCCCAAAACTTCATCTGCTTCCTAGTATACATAAGGGGGATTACCAATAGACCCCTGGCTGCCTTCAAGAAGGTGCTGGACAGGCACCTAAAGTCAGTACCTGATCAGCCGGGCTGTGGTTCATACGTCGGTTTACGTGCGGTCAGCAGTAACAGCCTGGTTAATCAGGCTCTGATCCACCATGAGGCCTGGTCACAGACAGGGCCGCGGGGGTCTGACTCCCGAAACCCTCTACAGGTATACTCTATTTTAAGAAAGTTTTAGGAAATGAAGGGTGTGAAAGTTACTTGCAGGGGTGATGGAGTGTTTTGGATGATTGAGATAATGTGCTCAAAAGAGGTAAGATGTTGGAGGAGTGTGGGAATTTGGTAGAGAAATGTGGGGATCCTGTTACAGAAATGTGAGAGGGGTGATGGAGTGTGTTGAACGGGGTGAGAGAGTATGCTTGAAGGATGTATAATATAATAATAATAATAATAATAATAATAATAATAATAATAATAATAATAATAATATCCTTATTTCTACAAGTACAAGGTATACAGACCATAGCTGACATCAATAACATACTACTATATAAAAAGCCGCTTGTTATGCAGAGCATTTCGGGAAAATTAGATCAGTTTTGTCCTAGGATGCGACACACACCAGTCGACTAACACCCAGGTACCCATTTTACACTGATGGATGAACAAGGACAGCGCGTGTTTCTTATGGAAACACGTTCTAATATTTTCCAGCCGTACCGGAGATTCGAACTCCGGACCTCAGAGTGTGAGCTGAGTGCGCCGACGATCGAACTACGGGACTGATTGCATGAAAGATGATAATAATGTAGAAATGGCATATTTAAACAGGAAATTCTACGGGCACAGCCCTTCCCCAATATCTCAGGATAATTAAAGCATGGTACAATGGATTTTTGTTTTACTGAGGTAAGTGTTGCTCATCAGAATATATATATATATATATATATATATATATATTATATATATTATATATATATTATATATATAATATATATATATATATATATATATATATATATATATATATATATATATATATATATATATATATATATATATATATATATATATATATATATATATATATATCACATTTAAAATGGTGGGGCTGATACCATAAAAAAATATATAGCTTTTGAAGATATCGGAAAGTTAAAAAAAAGTAATCTACAATAAAATGATTTTGCAAATAAAAATCCAGATTTGCTTTGAAGTGATTAATATATGGCAAGGAAGGGAAGGAGATATTAAGTCAGCAAACACTGACCTGAGAGGTGAGGGTGGAGGTGAAGGTGGTGTTGTCATAGCTCCAGGAGGTACAACCCTCCTTCACGAAGCCTCCACCACCGCTGCTGTTCGTCAGATAGAAGCAGTTGTCTCTGCAAGAGAATTTGTTGGTTAATGGAGTTTAAAACCTATCGACTCCATTAGGGTCATTAATAGTGCAGGTAATCTGTTTCTCATCACTCGAGTATACTTTAATTAAGGATTAAAGTAAACTCTCTTTATATAATTGTGTACTGAGAGCCATACATGGGAAGCGCTTAATCCGAATGAGCCCTTACAGATTATAATTTAAGTTACCGTAAGTATTGTAATTCTTGTTATTTCACTATAAATATTTTTTTTTCGTTTATGAAGTTAATGTTTTATAAAATATTATTTATTAATAATAAACACTGTTTTCAAGATCACTTGAAACACATTACATAAAATCATTTATATATATATGTATTATTCTGCTAATAAAGAAAAGATAAGGAGAATACTTTATTAGTAATTCAGTATGGTCAAGTAACTAAATGGTTATAACTGACCATAATTTTTAAAGGGGTGGACCGGTAAGCCAGCGGAAGGCCTCGGTCAAATGACCAAAAGCTCCAACGGCGGGTCATCATCTGACTAAGACCCGCGTCAGGAAACACTTGTCCTGTTTCCTGACAAACCTTACCTAACCTAACCTCAGTATGGTCAAAATATGATGAAAAGTTGATACACTAGCGGTGCTTAGAATGTCATGAATGTTCCTGTCATCAGGAAGCCTTCTTTAATTAACGTGACCTGCAGACGGTTTTGGAGGGGTCACCGACCCCATGACCCGGTCCCAGACCAGGCCTCCCGAAGAGAAAATGAGTGATATACCAGGCTACAGAAGAGGAGACAATGCAGGGACGAGACTTTCTGGAAGGAATCCAATGAGACAACGAACTGAATGGTCAGATAACGTAAGAAGTGATAGGTCTCGCCAGAAAGTGGCAGGAGGCCACAACAAGGTTTATACCTATCAGAAGGAGTGGTTTAATCAGACTTGCGGAGACGAAAAAGTAAAGAACACAAAAAACAACAGAGACTTGCGAAGTAAGCAGAATAACTAGGAATAACCATGCATGGACAAGAAAGGAAGCCAAGTGTCAGTTCAAGAATAACATAACAGTTTAGGACAAATTGGAGCCGAAACTATACACAGCTGTATAAGGAAGATAACTGCTGAAGATCAAATAATAAGGCTGAACAAGGGAGGAGTACTCAAGAGAGGATGACAGAAGTATGCGAGGAATTAATCAGAAGATTTAAGAACATAAGAAAAAAGAAGCACTGCAACAGGCCTACTGGCCCATGCGAGGCAGGTCCAATTCTCCTACCGGCTTAAGCCAATGCCTTAACCTAGTCAAATCAGGTCACGTTCACTTAAGGAAAGAGCACGGCATCCGACCTAGTAGCACAAGCTAGTCAGGTCAAACTCACACCCACTCATGTACTTATCTAACCTATTTTTAAAACTACACAAGGTCTTATCGTCTATGACGGTACTCGGGAGTTTGTTCCACTAACCCACAACTCTATTGCCAAACCAGTGCTTTCCTATATCCTTCCTGAATCTGAATTTTTCCAGCTTAAAGCCATTGCTGCGAGTCCTCTCTAGGCTAGATATTTTTAGCAAGCTATTTACATCCCCTTTATTCATTCCTGTTTTCCATTTAAACACCTCAATCATATCCCCCCTAATTCTACACCTTTCTAGAGAGTGCAGATTCAGGAGTTTTTTTTCACTGAGAGACAGGAATGGTGCCAGAAAGCAGGGATGTAAAGGCTAACCATCAGAAACTGGACGGAAATCACATATCAAACGATGAAACAATGAAGTTAATAAAAGAGCTAGATACATCAAAAGTCATGGGACGTGACAACATATATCACCATGGGTACTGAAAGTAGGAGTGAAAGAATTTTGTGGCCTTATAGCACAGATTTACAATACTAGGCAGTTGAAAAACTTAGCCTAGCCTAACCGAACCTAAATGACTCTAATCTATTAAACCCAAAATAAATAAAAATAAAATTTGTAAGCTGACAGGAAGCGTTAGGAAATGGACGTTAGGAACATCGAAAGAAAATTAACGAAGCCAAACGAGGATAGGTTTAAAAAATAAAAGGCAACTTACGTTGATGTGATGTTTTTGCCACTGAGACCAAAGGAGTATGAGGTGACGGTGTAGCCGTTCTCGGGAGGGACGCAGTAGTAGTCTACCTGGGGGGCCAGGAAGGCCATGCCCAGGATGTGAGGAGCCAGACACATGTTCCCTGTGACAAAAATGTTCAGTGTTACTGAAGGGCTCCCTAGCGGTTACAAAAATGAACGAATGTTTATACAAGAACTTTTCCTTGTACCCAGCAACACACAACACCAGCATACACTAACTGCAGCAACACACACACACACGTACACGCACAAAGACGTACTTACAGTATCCCGTGGCGATGTAGAACATGAAGTTCCACTTGCCCGTCTCCAATTGGACAAGGAGGTCATCGAACTTGCTGTTAGTAGGCATCGTTCAGGTGGGGGAGGTAGCGTCTGGCAAAAGAACCAGATGGAATAACTATAGCCTGGCGAAGACAGGACCCAGGCGGGGAAACAAGCACTTGACACAGAGAGGGCCCATGTATACCTAGAACCTGGGAATTTCTAGTCAGGGCCACTAGCGGATGGCAAAGAGAAGGTCCAGGTTGGGGAACGAACGCCTGGCGAAGGGAAGGCCCAGGTATGATCTTCAGATAGGCTGCGTCCGTCTTCATGCAGGCCCCTCCAACGGCAGATCCTGCAGAAGGAGATGAAGACATTACGGAGCACTGGGCAGGAAGGAATATTCAGCGATCTGTGCATTCAAAACCGTCACATCAGTTCACACGCATTAAAAGTTTTGGAGTTTACCTGGAGAGAGTTCCGGGGATCAACGCCCCCGCGGCCCGGTCTGTGACCAGGCCTCCTGGTGGATCAGAGCCTGATCAACCAGGCTGTTACTGCTGGTTGCACGCAAACCAACGTACGAGCCACAGCCCGGCTGGTCAGGAACCGACTTTAGGTGCTTGTCCAGTGCCAGCTTGAAGACTGCCAGGGGTCTATTGGTAATCCCCCTTATGTATGCTGGGAGGCAGTTGAACAGTCTCGGGCCCCTGACACTTATTGTATGGTCTCTTAACGTGCTAGTGACACCCCTGCTTTTCATTGTGAGGATGTTGCATCGTCTGCCAAGTCTTTTGCTTCGTAGTGAGTGATTTTCGTGTGCAAGTTCGGTACTAGTCCCTCTAGGATTTTCCAGGTGTATATGGAAAATTATTATTCTGTGTAGTTTATTTGGAATATGATACACGGGTTAAACTAAAATGTAAAAGGAAACGATGTTACTAAACTATTTACAGCTTTGGATGCCTAAGAAATTGATATTGAGGTTTTCCAATCACATGACTTAAGCCACGTATTTTACACTTTTCACATATATTTGACATCACGCCACTCAATGTTGCACTGCCGAGTCTATGCAATAAACTCGCTCCGACAATCTGAAGTGTGCGTAATAAATCATTCTTTCCAGTACCGTTCCAGTAACTTGTTTTATACTCAGCTGCAGCTAAGCATTGCAAGATGAGTCGAATTTAAATATGAAGCTATCATGTGACCGAAAACAATGGTGCGGCTAAACTCAACTGTGACAAACCAGTGTACTGGGCAGGTTAGGTTGCTCAGTCTGAATAACTTGTCCACACACCTGGTCAACCTGGGTGTGTACTGACTTAAAATGTTGGGTGATTCTGGTACTCCATTTGCTGATTGAATTATTTCTAAGCATTTGCAGAAAGTTAAAGATTTTTTACATTTTCTTATTGCTTCTTATACTGTTCCTTGCTTGTAGGCTCATTACATTTATCATTATTTTTTAGTTGTAAGTGTAGTATTCTAGGTCAATGTACACTGCAGTATACTCTGTCTTTAGCTAATTAGTCTTGTTAGGTGAGGTTAGTTAGTGTAACTTGGTTCACTGTCTATACGTATAATATTGCTCTGTTAGGTAGTGTTGCCTGCATATACTAAAAGTTTCGAGGGGCACTTAAAGAAACCTCTCTAGATGGGACTGCCACCCGCCTAGCTGTGTATAGCATTGTTTCTGCTTAAAAGTTACCACTACTGCTTCTGGATAATGTGGTACAGGGAGATGAAAACAATGAGAAATCCTGAGCAGCTTCGTATCAAACACCAGGGTACCAGTAGCCACAGCTCTGACAGCCACTGCTCCCCCTGCTTCTACCATTAACATTTTTATACCTTGGGTGGCTCATTCTTAACTGTTCGTCCTAACGTAGTTACTGAACTAACATTGGGAATTCACTGACCAAATTTTGCCCCAGCATTGTATCTAGTTGAATCTTTTCGAAGTGCTGGTCTAGCTGGCTGTTAGATGACTAATGCTTGTCTAGCTGGCTGTTAGATGACTAGTGCTGGTCTAGCTGGCTGTTAGATGACTAGTGCTGGTCTAGCCGGCTGTTAGATGACTAATGCTTGTCTAGCTGGCTGTTAGATGACTAATGCTTGTCTAGCTGGCTGTTAGATGACTAATGCTTGTCTAGCTGGCTGTTAGATGACTAGTGCTGGTCTAGCTGGCTGTTAGATACTAGTGCTGGTCTAGCCGGCTGTTAGATGACTAATGCTTGTCTAGCTGGCTGTTAGATGACTAATGCTTGTCTAGCTGGCTGTTAGATGACTAATGCTTGTCTAGCTGGCTGTTAGATGACTAATGCTTGTCTAGCTGGCTGTTAGATGACTAATGCTTGTCTAGCTGGCTGTTAGATGACTAATGCTTGTCTAGCTGGCTGTTAGATGACTAATGCTTGTCTAGCTGGCTGTTAGATGACTAATGCTTGTCTAGCTGGCTGTTAGATGACTAGTGCTGGTCTAGCTGGCTGTTAGATACTAGTGCTGGTCTAGCCGGCTGTTAGATACTAGTGCTGTTCTAGCTGGCTGTTAGATGACTAGTGCTGGTCTAGCTGGCTGTTAGATACTAGTGCTGGTCTAGCTGGCTGTTAGGTGACTAGTGCTGGTCTAGCCGGCTGTTAGATACTAGTGCTGGTCTAGCCGGCTGTTAGATACTCGTGCAGGTCTAGCTGGCTGTTAGGTGACTAGTGCTGGTCTAGCCGGCTATTAGATACTAGTGCTGGTCTAGCTGGCTGTTAGATACTAGTGCTGGTCTAGCTGGCTGTTAGGTGACTAGTGCTGGTCTAGTTGGCTGTTAGATACTAGTGATGGTCTAGCCGGCTGTTGGATTCTAGTGCTGGTCTAGCTGGCTGTTAGGTGACTAGTGCTGGTCTAGTCGGCTGTTAGATACTAGTGCTGGTCTAGCCGACTGTTAGATGACTAGTGCTGGTCTAGCTGGCTGTTAGATGACTAGTGCTGGTCTAGCTGGCTGTTAGATGACTAGTGCTGGTCTAGCTGACTGTTAGATGACTAGTGCTGGTCTAGCTGGCTGTTAGATGACTAGTGTTGGTCCAGCCGGCTGTTAGAGGACTAGTGCTGGTCCAGTCGGCTGTTAGATACTAGTGCTGGTCTAGCTGGCTGTTAGATGACTAGTGTTATTCCAGCCGGCTGTTAGATACTAGTGCTGGTCTAGTTGGCTGTTAGATACTAGTGCTGGTCTAGCTGGCTGTTAGGTGACTAGTGCTGGTCTAGCTGGCTGTTAGATGACTAGTGTTGGTCCAGCCGACTGTTAGATACTAGTGCTGGTCTAGTTGGCTGTTAGATACTAGTGCTGGTCTAGCTGGCTGTTAGGTAACTAGTGCTGGTCTAGCTGGCTGTTAGATGACTAGTGCTGGTCTAGCTGGCTGTTAGATGACTAGTGTTGGTCCATCCGGCTGTTAGATACTAGTGCTGGTCTAGCTGGCTGTTAGATGACTAGTGTTGGTCCAGCCGGCTGTTAGATGACTAGTGCTGGTCTAGCTGGCTGTTAGATGACTAGTGTTGGTCCAGTCGGCTGTTAGATGACTAGTGCTGGTCTAGCTGGCTGTTAGATGACTAGTGCTGGTCTAGCTGGCTGCTAGATGACTAGTGCTGGTCTAGCTGACTGTTAGATGACTAGTGCTGGTCTAGCTGGCTGTTAGATGACTAGTGTTGGTCCAGCCGGCTGTTAGAGGACTAGTGCTGGTCTAGCTGGCTGTTAGATGACTAGTGTTGGTCCAGCCGGCTGTTAGATACTAGTGCTGGTCTAGCTGGCTGTTAGATGACTAGTGTTGGTCCAGCCGGCTGTTAGATACTAGTGCTGGTATAGTTGGCTGTTAGATACTAGTGCTGGTCTAGCTGGCTGTTAGATACTAGTGCTGGTCCAGCCGGCTGTTAGATGACTAGTGCTGATCTAGCTGGCTGTTAAATGACTAGTGCTGGTCTAGCTGGCTGTTAGGTGACTAGTGCTGGTCTAGCCGGCTGTTAGATACTAGTGCTGGTCTAGCTGGCTGTTAGATACTAGTGCTGGTCTAGCTGGCTGTTAGATACTAGTGCTGGTCTAGCTGGCTGTTAGGTGACTAGTGCTGGTCTAGCTGGCTGTTAGATGACTAGTGCTGGTCTAGCTGACTGTTAGATGACTAGTGCTGATCTAGCTGGCTGTTAGATGACTAGTGTTGGTCCAGCCGGCTGTTAGATGACTAGTGCTGGTCTAGCTGGCTGTTAGATGACTAATGCTTGTCTAGCTGGCTGTTAGATGACTAGTGCTGGTCTAGCTGACTGTTAGATGACTATTGCTGGTCTAGCTGGCTGTTAGATGACTAGTGTTGGTCCAGCCGGCTGTTAGAGGACTAGTGCTGGTCTAGCTGGCTGTTAGATGACTAGTGTTGGTCCAGCCGGCTGTTAGATACTAGTGCTGGTCTAGCTGGCTGTTAGATGACTAGTGTTATTCCAGCCGGCTGTTAGATACTAGTGCTGGTCTAGTTGGCTGTTAGATACTAGTGCTGGTCTAGCTGGCTGTTAGGTGACTAGTGCTGGTCTAGCTGGCTGTTAGATGACTAGTGCTGGTCTATCTGGCTGTTAGATGACTAGTGCTGGTCTAGCTTGCTGTTAGATGACTAGTGCTGGTCCAGCCGGCTGTTAGATACTAGTGCTGGTCTAACTGGCTGTTAGATGACTAGTGTTGGTCCAGCCGGCTGTTAGATATTAGTGCTGGTCTAGTTGGCTGTTAGATACTAGTGCTGGTCTAGCTGGCTGTTAGGTAACTAGTGCTGGTCTAGCTGGCTGTTAGATGACTAGTGCTGGTCTAGCTGGCTGTTAGATGACTAGTGTTGGTCCAGCCGGCTGTTAGATACTAGTGCTGGTCTAGCTGGCTGTTAGATGACTAGTGTTGGTCCAGCCGGCTGTTAGATGACTAGTGCTGGTCTAGCTGACTGTTAGATGACTAGTGCTGATCTAGCTGGCTGTTAGATGACTAGTGTTGGTCCAGCCGGCTGTTAGATGACTAGTGCTGGTCTAGCTGGCTGTTAGATGACTAATGCTTGTCTAGCTGGCTGTTAGATGACTAGTGCTGGTCTAGCTGACTGTTAGATGACTAGTGCTGCTCTAGCTGGCTGTTAGATGACTAGTGTTGGTCCAGCCGGCTGTTAGAGGACTAGTGCTGGTCTAGCTGGCTGTTAGATGACTAGTGTTGGTCCAGCCGGCTGTTAGATACTAGTGCTGGTCTAGCTGGCTGTTAGATGACTAGTGTTATTCCAGCCGGCTGTTAGATACTAGTGCTGGTCTAGTTGGCTGTTAGATACTAGTGCTGGTCTAGCTGGCTGTTAGGTGACTAGTGCTGGTCTAGCTGGCTGTTAGATGACTAGTGCTG